CAAACACCCAGGTCCAAAGGCTCAACCCATCATTATCCTGTCTGGAGATGCACGTACGTAGTGGGCCGGGAGTTGGGCCGAGGATTGCAACCAGGAGACACCCGATGTTAGGAAGGTGCTGGTATGAGCATGCCGTGCCACCACAAGACCTTCGCGTCGGTAGCATGGCGACGGTGTGACATGTCCGGGCTAGGTGACAGGCGCGACAGCAGGGAGCCCCAAGAAGGAAGGTGGGGAAGTGGAAGGTACACGAATCATGCCATCAACACATATATATATATATTATATACCTGATTGACCCCTGTTTTGGAGCCAAAACATGGTCTTATCCTCTTAAAACAAAGGTCAAACGGGTTCTAGGTATATATACTTGATTCGACCAGATGAAAGTATCATCACATATCCACAAGAACCAGGATGAAAAAAAACTACTCATTCTATATTCCCAGGGTGAGAAGGTGTTAGGGGTGGGTTTGGGGGGTCCAAACACCTTTTGAGGAAGTACTTGGATCCCTAGGGATTATTACTTGGATGTATGGTGTAATTCGCGAACGAGCCTTTCTTCAAGCTGAGAGGTACAAGAAAAAACACCCAGAACACCTCATGGCTAGGTCAGCATGGCTGTATCCATGTACCAGGGGTGGTTCATTTCATGGGGTCAATGGGGTACGGGTATGTGATGGAATCTTCGATTTTTATGGTTCCGTGCTTGGGGGTGGCAAGTTCGTGGCGAAAAACGACGTGGGTGCAACGCGGAGCCTAGCGGATGTGGAGCCTGCGGGTGCGGAGCCTGGCGTGGTTCAGACCGTGGGAGGAGGTGAACAGCGAAGAAGACCACCACCCAGAAGAAGGAGAATACATAGTCTCATAGTCCTTCAGGTTTACCATGGTGTCCCCCCTCTTTGGACTCCTCTCTGCACATTTTCTCAACCCATTGTCAGACGATTCTTAGCAATTGGCAAAGGATGGATCTCAACCATCACTTCACAAGACAACTCGCCCCGCCCCACTTGTTTGGTCAGGGAAATGTGAAAGACGGCAGTCCAGATGTCCTACCTGTTGATAAAGAAGAGCCACTCTACCTGGAAGCTTCAAACACCTCACACCTCGGAGCGTTTGATTCATCAACCGTCAACATGCCCGCGCACGGAGCCTCTCACGCAAAGGGGCTCCGGCGCGTTCGCTTCGGCGCCGCGTTCGCCGCCAGGATGCGGGATGAGGCGGGTTGGCTTCGCCCCCCGGCTTCGCCGGAGGTGGGATCTCTCCGGGGACATCGGTCACCGGTCTGGGCGAGTTAGGTGTGGTGACCTGCAAGTCATCGGTCTCCAATTACAAACACATGGTCTGCTCAAAGGAAAGCAAGAAGTTATTTAGATGTGGGTGACCAATATTCTTGAGCCATACAACGATTGAAACAATTAACATATGTATTATATATCATTTGGTGGTATTCCTAAACCAACGATCCTTTCGTTCCTTGAAAGATGTTGGTGGCCTCGGTCTTTACCTAAAGGGTGTGATCAGTAGAGAGGTGTGTGGGGGTGGTGTTGGCTTTGAACAGCCAGGTTAGGATAGGGCAAATGGATTCAAAAAAGGGTCAATGGATTTAAAAAGGAGAGGCCTGTCATTTTCTTTTGTGGGTACACTTGCCTTCAGCTGCTGTACTCAGCGCTGCTGTGGGGCGCACTGGATGCGCACATTGGAGAGTAGGGAAACACAAGAAACTGCAGAGTGAGCCTATTGTTGAAGTCCTTGTTGATTCGAGAATTCAACGCAGAAGCGGTCCACTTTTTGCATTTGGTCGACAGGTTGCACGAGCCCTAACTAATTACTCCCGTCTACCATCTACATATTGATAGATGTGCCCCGCCCCCGCCCCAATAGTTTTTCAATGCTTTCCCGTGTTGTGGACATAATGTGGACATTCTGCTTGGCAATTGTCATCCCGGTTTGGTGAATCTTCTACGAATCCAACAGATGTTCCTATCCGGCCTTAATCCATGGGTTCACCAAATGGCCCCACTTCTATAGTGACCTCAAAATACCTACAGCATCCTCAAGCCATGGTGCAGAAAGGGCGCTTGTGGGACCCTTTTTGATGTTTGATTTCCAGTGTGCATCATGAACCTCAACAACTCTGTGTGTCAACGATTGATCTACTCAAGATCCTCAGAACAAAACCCCATAGCTGTAGCCACACAACACCCAATTGATCCTCTTTGTCTCGTAGATCTTCGTTTCTGAAGAAGCTGTCCTCGTAGGCTCTGAGGGCGTTTTGCCAAGAGCTTCGTAGATCTCCTCACTGGTGCCGCGGAGACACCGCGCCCGCGCCGCGGGGGATTGGAAGCGCTATTCGTGGGCACTCAGCAGCCTACTCAGCAGCCTGAAAGCTACGCGACTGGCTTCATGTGGCTTCATAGCAGCTACTTCCAGGGGGCCTCCAATCATTTGCACTGGCAGTCCGACACCCGATGGTTGGGTTCAGTCACGGTCCAGAGATGTGGAAGCGATGCTTCATGGCTCGTCCGTCCATGGCGCTCACCCTTCTACAGTCATTGAGGCAACAAAAGCCAGGTGTTCCAAAGGGGTGTCTATAAAGCGCTCCTTAAGGGGGGGTGTTTATCGTATGATAACAAGCAGAACAAAAAGAACTGGATTTCAAGCCATTTATAATATACCAAAAAGACGCGCGAATGTCCAAACTGGAGCACCACGCGCACCCTTCAAAGCATGTTGTGTTTATATAGTTTTATATCTTATTAATTTGTATACTAGCACGTTCCAATGGGTCTCCCATGGAATATGCCCTACACTACTTGTGGATTCCATTGGACACCCCTTGCAGGTCCAGTCCAGGCACTTAAAGTAAGATTGAAACCGCTACAGCGCCACATGGTAGAGGAACATGATTTTAAAATACTTCTGACAGATTTGAGGGTCGGAGGGGCCAAGACTCTTGCGCTCTCCAGTCCCCTGCCTGCTGCATGGGATGAAGCCCTGTCGCCGCTGGGCCCCAATCCCGCCCAGTCTCCTCAAGAGCGCCTTAAGCTGAAGAAATATGGGAGACCTGATGTCAGTCTGCAAAGCTGTAAGTATTCTTTATAGAGGCAACCCCTTTTGTGGCAGTGTGTCGCAGTGAAACCAATCTTCTCTGTCATATTAAACATATTAAACTCTTTATCTGAGAGATGCGGCTCAGCGGCGCACATCGCTTCTGCCACACGTCCCAAAAAATCGACGCTGAAGCGTCGACGCGAGCGTGGCGGAAATCTCATCCCTCCATCGCTCCACTTCTCATCACTCCATCGGCTGGAGTGCTATGTGCCTCGCTGCCTGGAACAGCTTCGGCCGACCCAGCCGCGAGCGTTGGGCGAAAAGGATGGGCCGAGCAGGGGCTACAGTTGGCTTCGCGGGTGTTCGCCCAGTGTGTGTGGATGATTGTGGATGTTGCTGTTGCTGTTGCCGCTGCCGCTGCCGCTGCCGCTGCCGCTGCCGCTGCCGCTGCCGCTGCCGCTGCCGTTGCCGTTGCCGTTGCCGTTGTTGTTGTTGTTGTGGTTGTTGGTTGTGGTTGTGGTTGTTGGTTGTTGGTTGTTGTTTCTTTCTTCTTTTTTTTGTTTTGGGGGGTGGTGGTGTTTTTAAGGGTGGATAGGAAATCTTGCAACAAGACACTCAGATCTCAGAGGTCTCTCCTGTCCTCAAGTGGTCCACCACCACATGTGTTACTGCACAGAGCCGTGTGGCATCACGCACAGAGCTAGGAAATCGGGCACCGAAACTCGAATCACCGCCCTTTCAACTGTTCAAGAAAACTGGTGCTTGTGGGTGAAGACCAGGATGCAGCACCAAACTGTTGACCTGGCGCACTCACGCGCAATCCACCGGTCATTCACTACGACTGGCGACCTGGTGCAACCTGGTGGGACGACCCATCCATCCCCAGAGGGTCGGTAGGTCCGAACGTGGTGGCCCGTAGGGCAAGAAGGTTTGAGGTCGTGCCAGCTATACCAGCACCCTCCAACAGGTGCTTCCTGGTGACAAGTCCCAGAGCCCAGGTTCACCACCTGTGGGAGTTGGTCTCCAAACAGGGCCAGGAGGGTCCTGGTACTCTCTAATGGAACTCAGCTCCTCTCTGAGTTCAGGCGGTTCTTTCAGAGTCGGGTGACCGCCAGCGGAACGTATCCTCAACAGTGACTCAACAGGGTACCACTGGGGAGTTCTGCAGTTTTGCTTTGGTAAAGTAAGACATGTTCCAAAACAGAGGTTCGCAATAGCGAACCGAATACCACATGTACTTTTGCGAGGATGCCTAGGTAACTGGCCGTTAATGTGCTGCCGTCTCCGCTTCCAATGAAGCTGCTTGTCACAGGGGGACATGAAAAAGGAGGTATAGGGTACCGCGTATCTTCCAATCTTCCAAGAAGTGCGCCATCAAAGACTCATCAGTTTTTGTCTTGATCAGCACCCTTTGGTGCTCAGAAGGAGGTGATGAGATGCGCGGACATGGTGACATGTTTCGTTCACCAACAATCATTACCACCAATAAAACAGGATCACAACCCGGACCTCCCCTTACATAGGTTTTCTATGTCACTCAAGCAATGAAGCCAGGTTGCTGCATTCATCATGATTTCATGGTACGGTATGGGTCGATGGGACAATTGGCAGGAAAATCGTGGCAAACCTTTGTCGTGGAAATGAGCTTAACATAAAATCTCAATGAGCATTCCCAGACACGACCTACCTGGGACTGGCCTATTTTCCGGGGGGGGTGATTTCAGGGGTCGGTGTGGCAACTTTTCCATTTTGATGGAGGGTTAAGGGTTTATTGGGTATAGTAACTATTCACGAATGTATGTTAACTAGTCAATGGAATACCATTAATACAACATGGCTAATGTGTTTTGGCACTACGTTAATACCATTAATGGAATACCATACCAATACCATACCATTACGTTAATACTATGAATGTCAAGTATTCCTTTTTTAACGTATTTTGGATTTTGAACCTTGCGGACCTTCGATGATACAGTGGCCATGGTGCGGACGTGGCACGGCCGCGGCACCTCCACGAACGCTGGAACCTGAGAATGCCCGGGCCAAGGGCAGCTTTGATGGAGACCCTGGCATCATTTAGGATAATCGTGGGCAGATGTTTCTGAGGTTTAGGGTAGGGTAGACACAACGAGATGTTTGGAAGGCATTGGAAGTTGGGATTGTTTCGCATCCTCTCAATGTCTCATTGATGTCTCATCAGCTTTGGTCAGTCTGACCATGGTGTTCTGCCCACTGAGATGACCCCGACAGATGGGGGGGGACAGGTGGGGTGTGTTGCATTCGTTGACTGGGGGAAAAACTGCTGTTGTGCAGTGGTTCGGCTGGCACCTGGGGGTCTCCATGGTTTGGGCCAAGTCTTGGAAGGACGAGGTGTTCCAGAAAGAGTTGCCTGGTGCTCGTGGTGCTCGTGGTCATGCGAAGCGGTGCCTCGCGGTCATGCCGCGTCGGATGCCACAACCAAGGCCACAAGAGATGCCGGAGAGGCCTGGCGGGCAGGAACTGCTGTTTTCAGAATCGAAACTCTGGTGGATCCACAGCAGGTGAGGTCCCCCAAGGTCCCTCACATCAAAGCGTGTGTTCTTCGGAGACCGTCCAGAGGTGCTTGTAGACTAGCTGAATGACTGCAGGTCGCTGGACCCAAAATGAGGAACCCAAACACTGACCGAGGAGCCCTGCAGACCATTTTGCTGCTCAAAAGCGTGGCTTCTTGTGAAAGCTGCCTACCTGCCAGCCTGCTACCTACCTACTACGTATCTGACTGCTGCAATGTATGACTATACTACAAGAGTTGAAGCGGCTTCAAAGGTTGGCAGAGCTTAACGGTTTCATCCTGTTTCACTTAGCTGAGGTGGGCTGATCCTGCAGGTGACTAAACAACGTAACGCACAGCAGGCCACTGGATGTTTTAGAGAAAAAGTTGTTGGTCATTGAAATGGTGGACCTTTTCTGGCATGCTAAATGCAAATACCTTTGCTTCCTTTTTAAAGTCCATCCCAAATGGGTTTCTCCGGGCTGTTCTTTGTTGCCAGCCGGGTTGTTGACGTCCCAGGTGCAGGGCCTCTTAAGGGACTTGGAAGAGGTGTCTCCGGAGCTCGCCCTGGTGGTGAACGAGTTTCAGGAGGAGACGGACCGGTTCACGTGGAACCCATGACCAGCTAACACTTATAGGGTTCCGACCTGAATGCGGGCGCCGTGACAGGGCGCGCGCCGATCGCACATCGGTTGGGCCCGCCACTCGCCTTCAGGAGCTGCGCAGCGGCGAAGGCTTCGAGACCGAAGCCTCATGGTGGCGCCATGTGGAGTGTCGCTTCGCACTGCGTTGTTGGCTCCTGCATTTGGAGGCGCGTTTTTTCCGCGCGCGTCACCACACGCGTATCCACAGCACTCAACCCGGCACATGTGGCTTGTTGTCCAAGAAAATGGGCCAGTTGAAGAGAGATGTGCACAGCCGAGAGGAGACAAGACGGGTAATTAGCAGGGTAGCAATAATATGGACTAATTAATTACGTGTCACACATTTTGAAATTTTGGTATCTCGTTTATGCGAAAAGTATCTACTAACCATCATCATCCACGGTTTCTAGTAATTGGATAGTAGTACCCAGAACATCTTTCTAGCAGCATGGCCTAGGGCAACGACCTACAGTGTTGACCCGCAGGCGACACGTCATCACGTAGGCGTCATGCCACATGCATCGGCTCCATAGGAGAACCTGGAGTCTGTTGCGGTGCAGATTGAGGCTTTGGAAGGCTTGGCAGCCCAAAAAGACGATCAAACGCAGCACCCTGGCCATGGGGTGTTGATGAATAGCCTCCTAAAAGATCCTAAAAGAGATGATGAAGAACGTAAGACGGTAACATGTTTGTTCGGATTCTACACAGCCACCGACGGCCTTTGAAGGAGCCTATCGTCTCCGAACCAATCTCGCACGTGGTTCCGACGGCACGAAAGAGGGGGTACCTCCCACTCATCAACTTACATGGGAGACCACCAACGTCATCAACGTCAGGCTTGTGCAGGGTTCCTTGGCTGGTGACGATTGGAGTTTTAAATGTTTGATCCTTGTTTGTTGGAGTTGCAATTAAGCTGTATAAGCGTGCAGATTGTCAGAATTAGCAGTGTAGCAAGCGATACCTTCAAGGAATTACTATGTAATACAGACCATATCTCTGAAGCCACATTTTTGCAGCTTACATCCAACCACTCTCCAACATTGCGCCTCGAACTCCGTTCGGCAGACCTCCGTTCGACCGCTTTCGGCAGGACCTTCGCAGGTGAGGAAGCTGCAGCTTCTGTCTCAGCTGAGTCAAGCTTTCGAAGCCTCGGCTCGGCTGAGTCAGTCCTCCCTTTTAGCCGCGTTTTGAAACGCGACACGACACACCAAACGCGTGATGGTCGCGTGATGATAGTCGCGCCGGATGTGACTCATCAGTCTTCGGATGGGGCGGCAGCCGGTGTTAGTGATTTGGTGTCAAGCTCCATGTGTTGGGTAGGTTCAGGTGTGTTTGGTGCGGTCTTTTGTGTTTCCCGAGGAATTCGGTTTTAAACCCACTGCTATATGTCAGAATCGGCCATCCCATAATGGTCCTCTAGCAAGTCCAAGGCTGATTTCTCTAAAAGGTTGAACTGGCCAGCAGGCAGACTGACATATGAAGTGACCGCTTCGATAGCAGTTGGCCCTAGGCTACTAGACATGAAGTTTGATGGAATGATGTTGGAGGATAGACAGGTTGCAGACATCCTTGGATTCTGACCTTGCGGCATTGGATCGACAGGTGGTTGGCCACCGGTTGTTTGGTTTCCTTTTTACCAGGTAGGGGATGTTTGGGAATTGATATGGTGAACAAAAACTCTCCCGACATCTACCAGGACCCCGCAAGGGGTGTCTGTTTATAGCCCCTTAGCAGTTAAAGTGAATGGGTTTTCCATGGTTTTCCATTAACCACCCTTTGGGCCTTTGGGGGTCTGACCTCATAAATCGATTGGGCATGGCCATCCATGGCCACGTGGCTGAGCATCATCACATCGGACCGACGGTCCAGGAAAGCACCACTGAGCCGCGCTTGGCCAAGCTGCCGACGGCGCCCCGGGGTGTGCAGGCGAAGTCGGCTGAGCTGGATGCCCCATCCAAACGGGTAGCCCAATGGAAGTCTGTAAGTGGAGGGGACGGCGTAGGGTAGTTGACACTTCTTGAGGATGTTCCTGGGTAAGAAGCGTAAGAAGATTAAAACAAATAAATTCTCATTTCAATGTTTCTGGGTTGGCAGAGAAACAACTTGGACTCTGCAGGTGTGAACTTTTCGAGGTGATTCAACCTGTCGAGGTGATCTCCCATATTCACTCAAACATTGGATGATGATACGATGCAGGAAGATGCCATGGAAGTGGATGTGCGGACCGCAAGATCAGGCAACTGGGTCAATAGAACAATACCGAACATGCTTAACACGTACTAGCACCTATATACCTTACGGCGTCTCCAATGGAAGACCGTAACGCTATACCGCTAAAAACTCCGTGGATCTCTGCAACAAACAACCCCTTTGAAGCTCCAGGTCTCTCCAGAAGCTCCAGGTCTCTCCAGGTCATATACTTCACACATATCATCCAATATCTAATTGCCCCGCTCCACCCAGATCGCAAACGCCGCCGATCGCAAAACCCCCCCCATCCACCGGTCATCCACCGGTTCCACCGGTTCCGCGCAACGTCCGGTGAAACCCTTTTGGAGCGATGGCTCCAGGTGGAGCGGCGCTACAACTTGTCGGGCCGCGAGGTGGAGATCTTCCGGCTCTTGGTCGCCTGGGCGAACCCACGCCGCCTCGTACGCGTGCGCTCGTCTGCGGACGAGCGGACGCGCTTTTTTTTTGCGGACGCGCGGACGCGTGTGCATCGGACGTATTCGGACGTGTTTTGAGACACATTTGGGCACTGTGATGATCGAGAAGTGTTAGATTGTAGACCAGGAGTGGCCTAACCCAGCAAAGTGCATATAAGCTGCTTAAATTAAGCTTTATATACTGCATGTTTAAACTATTAAGCGTGTTTTGATGTGTGTTTGGTTTCTCCACTGAACCGGGTGGAGACAGGTGATCCTGGATTTTTCTGAGAGAGGAACTGGAGACCTGGACGCGTTTGGTAGGTCGAGCCTTCCCTGGTTCATTTTTGGTGATCATGGGTTGTATAGGGTGACCTTCTTCGGAGAGGGAGGGGTCGAAGCGGGTCTATTAAGTTAAGTCTATTATAGGGCTATTTGAGAGTTGGGAATCGCATTTGGTGGTTCCTTTTCGTTTTTTGTTTTGTTTGGAGCACTTTGAGTTTGGACCCGCAGATGTTCTTGCGGCAAAGCTGTGTGCAAAGCTGTACCTTCGGCAGTTTACATGGCAAGGAAGAAGAGGGTCGTAGTTTGGGCTGATGGATGTGCAATGATGACGATGACGATGATGATGAGAGGCCTTCCGACATGTCAGGAGCTTGGCTCCTTCCAATCGCCGACCTTCCGCGCTGCTTCACATGCACATCCCATGTCGCAGCTCAAATCGCAGACGTGACAGCTCTAAGCCGAACCTACACAGCTCACCTGAGCCACCCAGGGAGAAGGCCAGTTTGGCATTGCATAACCGCCCAAGCACTGTCCCAAGGATTATTTGAGCTGCAGGGCTTGCAGGGGGGGCCATGGGATGCCCGCAACGCAGCTTGGACCGTCCACCGGCCACTCCCATGCTCACGTCGACCAGAATTCCTGTCCTCCAATCGTTTACTGGTCGTGAGATGGAACTATAGAATACCAGCAGCTTCCTCGCAGGAGTGAGCTCCGCAGCTTCCTTCCTGCAGCTAGAGAAAGTGAATCTGTCCAGCACACCAAGGTCGTTGAGCCAAGGTCCTGCGACAAAATGCTTGGACACATACAGATAAGACCGTTTCTATCTATTTTGGGACTACTATAGACTATAGGTCCCAGCATCTCTCAAATTCTAGCCGCCCATGCCACTGAGGTGGTGCGAGAAAGTGCTACTTGCCGCTCCTTGTGCCGCTTCCTCTCCAGCCATAGCGGCTCCGACGGAGAGTCAGCCTTGTGCCCGGGGGCCCGGGTGGTGAGGCCATTGCTGAAGAGCAGGGGAAAGTGGTATGCAGTGGTGTATAGTGGTTGGGTTGGTTCTGCCGGTTCTGCACCAAATCATGAGAGCGGTCGATGGCAGAGGAGCAACTCAAGGTGAGTTGGAGAGAAAGCCTAAGCACGGTGGGAACTATTTGGAACAGCATTTGGTGTTCTTTCCCAAAAGTGCATACTTGAGCCCGATCCGTTGGAAGATCCCAGATCTATTTATATAAATACTGTCACTTCAAGACCGGCTCCACGTGTGACGTGTGACACGCGGCACGCCCCAGACCATCCATGGGACTGGAATATATACTCTGAAATATCCAAGATACAGAATGGCCGTGGCCTTTCGCTTACCTGAAGGGGCAATATATATATATATATATGACTTCTATAGGGTGCAGTATATGCTTACATTCAACCACCTCCAACCTTGGACTCCTGAATTCCACCACCCCCAACTGGTCTCGGTCCGGCCCAAAAACGGTCGTGTTGGGGCGATCGTGGGCTGCCCGAGACCTTCAAGACGCGAATCTCCTAGTACACGGGCACTCCAGGGATTGCATAATGCATAATAAGCTTTATATAATTAGGCAGTTATATACATGGCATGCATATAATCTCATATAATATGTTTGTTGTGTTGAATCTGTAGACATGGAGTGTTTGGGGCACGGTGGTTGCCTAAAAACAAAAGAACTGAAACAAAGAAACCCTGCAGCAGCGAGTGAATGGAATGGGCATCGGTGCTTTGGGATGGGCATCGGTGCAGGTTGTGGTCAGTCTCTCAACCGGAGCCCCTCAGGCAGCCTGTGCAGGAGCTCCAAGCTTGATGTCCAGGAGTCTCGGGGTCCATCGCCCGACGAACAAGGCGGAACGTACTGCTCAGAAAGCTGCGTTGTTCCACCAAAAATCACCCATGCGCGCTATGTTGAGGTCATTTGAGGTCACTTATCTATAGGCATTCTGTTTTTTTGTGATTGCTTCCCCCACTGGAAAGGAACAGACGGTTAACCTTCATTTTCTAGGGGCTTTCTGTGAAAGGTTAACCCTTCAGGGAGTCAGGGTTTGGTGTTTGTGATGCCACAGGGTACCATGGGATACCATGGGAGCTTGTTTGCCAACACACAGCAACTGAGGGGTGGAAGCCTGTGGTGATATGGGGGTAGGTCAAAACCTGGAGCCCTGGTCCATCATGTAGCGAACCAGCTTCCAGGTAGCTCAACGACCTTCCAGTATCCTGGCACTGACCCACAGGTGACGGAGACGGACCGGACCTATTACATTCCTATTACTATCATTGGACCATCATATAGAATCAATATAGACCTACACCAAGGCCCCCGGTTTGGGGTGGTTGATGGATACCCCTTAACCTCTAAGGAGCTATAATTAGACACCCCTTAGGGGGCCCTGGTATGGTGAGTTGGACACTTAAGTACCAGAGATGGGCCCTCTCGAGATCCTGATTCGGCCACCTCGGGTCAGCTGAAACCTTCTTCGATCCCACCCCCCCCCACCCCTTCGATCCCCCTGTCGCCCCCCCCCCGCCGCGCCCCGCCGCTGCGGGCGAGGACTTTTTACAAGAGAAGAGGCCCTATGTGACCGAAGGCATCGTTCGAATTCAGGACGCTGGGCCGACTCGACGGGCCGAATCGACGGGCCGACCTCGGGGTTCACCACCCCCCCCGATGGGTTGGGGGTCTGCTTCGGAGATGCCTCAAGATGAGGGCTTAGTTCGACAAAGGAGGAGGCCAACGACCATCAGTTCCAGGGAGTGGGGGTGCCGAGTTTGGTTCGGAAGGTGGGCAAAGATGGGACTCAACACCACCCAAGCTCCATGTGAGTGCAGCGCAGCCCGTTTGAGGACGGCTATGGGGACACCAAAGAGCCGAGCATCTCGCCGGAGGCGGTGCATGCCTTGCTTGGGAAGGCGGGGGGGCGCCGGGAGGAGATGGAGAAGCCGACGGTGACGTCGCTACGAGCTGCCATGATTCTGGCATAATCCTGCGTCAGAATCCTGCAAATAAGCATGTTTGGTACTATAGAATATTATAGAATTATATATAGTTATACTCTTTGTTTCTTCCTTACAAAGTATCACTCGCACCGGATGTTTGATTTAGTAGTAGTCTACACACGTTGTCTGTTTGTGGACGAGAGCTGTGCAACGGCGACGGCTTCTCCGGACACCAAGCGTGCAGCGCGTCGCCAGCCGCCCCAGCCAGTTCCGTCCAGCCGCGTCCGTCGATCGTTCATGGCAACTGATTTGGGGTTCTGCGGGTTTCAGATGAGCCAACAGAGCTTGAAGAACCCTAGTTCGACTATCCCAGTTCTGGTACCCCAGTAGTGTCCAAGGTCACAAGTTCCACCTCTGTTGGTTCGGCCCACAAGATCGGTTTTTTTCCGTCGGTGACCTGTCCTGTGTGGAGTTGCCCCTCTCTCTGAGTAATTACCACATGGTGCAAGTGACTGATCATCTTGATCTCAGGGCTTCACGTGTTGAATCCTTGTTTGAGGACCTCACGACCGAGCAGCGCTTGAAGCTCAGCTCCACTGCCATCGACGCGGTCATCAAAGGTGCCACATGCTGTGCCGTGCCGTCGCCGTGGGGGTGTGAAGATGGATCCCTTTTTGGGGCTCCAAAGATCTGCAGAAGGGTATAGACATAGTTAGACCATCCAAACATATCCAAACCTAACCCCAAACACCGCCATTTGGAGCATTAGGGTGTCATTGTTCCAGTCCAAACCTCTCCAGACGACGCCCGCAGGCGACGACACCGACGACCGAAGGCAGGACGCAGCAGCAACCGAGGAGCGCGGCAGCGTGGAGAAGGAGACGGAGGCAGTGCCGGAGACCACCACCGAGGGACAGCAGGCGCTGGGACAGCTGGGACAGGCGCTGGGGCTTTGGTGGATGGTCCGATGATTTATTGGTTCTTTCACATCGGTCCATGGTTGGGTCGATGGTTCGCTGGTCCGATCTATGTTTGATTGATGTATTGAGTAAGATTGCTCATCTTCGGTTGGTGGGTCTGGGATGAGGGAGTGATTTCGACGATTTCGATTGACAGTGGTGGTTTGATCCAAAGTTGCAAATATCGGTTTTTACAGCTCCTGGAGCCCGACCACTCTGCGTAGCAAAGGAGCTTATAGGGCTATGATAGGGCTTAGTGTCGGTAGGTTAGCTCCAAGGTGTCCTGACTTTGACCCTCAGCCAGTTTGCTGATGAAGCATGTCCTGCTTGGGACAGACATTGACAGATGACAGTGCATGTGGTGTTGAAGCTTCTGGGGGGCAGTTTGCCATGCTGAATGAGTCAAAAGATATGTCGGAACTTGGAAGTGTTGCAGAACATGCAGCCATGATAAGTCAGGAACAGGGAGTACTGTACTCAGTTTGCAAGGTCAAGAGAAGATCCGGAGGCTATGCCTACTATCCAACGCCAAAGAACTGGTCTCACTTATTGCTCGATACTGGTCTCACCAGGGGCCCGTTGTCAAGAACAGAACAGAACAGTCTTACTGCAATGCCGACTTGTAAGTAGTTCAGACTACTTGAGCTGAAGCAATCAAAACTTCTGAAAGGGTTTCACATCCATACCATCATGCATGACATGCATATGACATGCATTGCAGCATCACATCTCACTTCGACCTTCAGCGGATGTTGCCCTTGTCCCTGATTCACCTGGTTCTATGAAGCGCCCTGCAGCTCAAAAACAAACGCTTGTCAAGAAGCCAGCGGCCAAGCCAAAGAAGCCATCCAAACGAGTGCCCAAAGAAGACCTGTTGCTGCAGATCCTTCTCATCTCAGGACAGAAGCTGTTGCAAGTCAAAGCTCCGGCGACATGGACCACAACAAAGCTGAAGAAAGTAGTGACGGAGGAGCTTGCAAATTCAAACCGCATGGAAAGCCTGCAGAAGCTGGTCCACGTGGGACGAGATGAGCCAATTCCAGATGGTAAATCCTTGGAAGCCGTTGGCTTAAAGGATGGGTCTGAGATCTATGCAATCCTGCACATGCCCGAGTACGAGGACGAGGAGGCGGAGGATTCGGACTGGTTGGATGATGACCTGTTTGACTTGGACTTCGTGAGACCGGCACGTGGAGACTGGGATGCTTGCCACGTGTGCGGTCGGAACCGCGGCTGTGACTACTACGGTGGTGAATGCCGAAGTTGCTACGATGAGCACTAGTGGAGACCCCAATGGATTGGGGCTCCAAACTGTTTGGACCTGCGAAGCAAAAAAGACGCCCGTCACCACGTGATTTGCCAGAGGTGGGCTGTGTTTGCATGTTGAATCTTGATGGGGTTGAAGTAATTCCCTATCAAATGAGTGGCTGAACCCCCGATTCCATTTTCACCCCTATGAATCTTGGGCGTTTTGGCCGAAACTGCGCAGTGGATTTTTGGTCAAGTGCTTGCTGCAGAAGGTTGAAACCGGAGACTCCCACTCACAGGTCATCGTCCTTCATCACGATGCAGAAGCAGGTCCAAATAGTTCTGGCTCAGACTAAGGCCCCACTAGTTACCAGCCCTCCAGGTCAAAACGTCATTTGAAGACCCTCCCGGCGAGGTCCAGTAGAATTCGGGAATATGAGGTTCAGGGCCCCAGCAACCCACAAAAAGACATCGTGTTTGTTCTTTTTTCACCTGCAGCGCCCGACAGGACTCCGTGGCATCCGAGCCACTGGGCAAAAAGAAGTGACGGTGCAGAAGTGACGTACATTCATTTGTTGAAGGTATATAGGAGAAATATGTTCTAAGTGTATGTCTTAGGGTATAATATAATCTTGAATGACGCTTGATTTAGAGAACCCACCCCAATTTGAAGACGAAACTCTTCTTCATATGGGGAGGATGGGGGGGGGGTGATTACAAGAGCCTACACGGCTGTGAGTCATGGCGCTGGGACACCCTGGGATTTGTCCAGGGAAAACGATCAGAGAGGTCGACCTACTCGACCTACTAGGGATTAAGGGGTCCCGGTGCCACGACTCACAACCACATGATCTCATTTCCAGAATGGATTCCAGGCCAAGTCCCAACGAAGACCCGGGGACAATGAACAAAACACCACGTGGACCACGTGTTAACACACCCGTGCCCTGTGGTCTGACACCCGATTTGACCGCGGCGGCACGCCGAAATCACCTTGGAACTCAGGAGCGCGGAGGATGAGTCGGAGTTCCAACAGCCCTACAAGGATTCGCTCGACTACCTGAACGATCAGCTTCTTAGACGTCGAAGGAAAAGGGGAGAAGAAATGTACTGAAGATCATTGGACATCTTTCAAAACATCAAGAACTGCTGTTGTACAACTGCTGATGTCTCCTCTCAATCACTGATGTTGTTAGACACATCCAAGGCAACTCTCACGGAAGAAGGTCCATGTGCTTACCTGCAACTACTTTCCAGAACTGCCTCTTCGAGTCTAGGAAGCCCTTAGAGTTGTTCTAGTTGGGTTCATGAAGCCAAAGCCCAAGAGTCCCAGCAGATTTGGACCATCTTCGACCATGCCCCTATTATCGGCCCTGCACCAAGTCTAGGTCGACCTTGCATGGAATAACCTTCCTGCCTTCCTCGCGCGAGAGAAAAGGCATGTTGTTTTTAATAGTGTACCGACTCAGCACATTTGCATGAGAGAAACAGCCCAAAGATACCCCTGGCTATGTTCTATGTTTGCCCATGGGTGCTAGAACCCCCCCCCCCCGAGTCTAGCCGTTCTATGTCTAGACGTCCAGAGTCTCGCCTGCACAATTCCACCGCTGCTATGGTTGCGGAACACCGCGCGCCGGGTCGAACGCCTCGAGGTTCAGCCTCCTGGAATGCGAGATTCGCATCGCCGAGCACCGGCGACAAAGCACCAAGGAGGACGTGGGTGTCGAGGAGCGGGGACTGCCCCGTCGCGCGGACCGGGACCTTGGGTGGCCGGACCGGTCGACTTGATGGGTTTGCTTGGGTGAGGTGGAGAGTGATTTTCGCCCCAGAGGGTTCAATCATGTACTGACTTTAGGATTTTAATTACTGTAATAGTGGGAGAGTAGACTGAGAGGCTCGATGGCACAATGCCCCAAAAGGTTCTACGGACCCCCATTTTTCAATGACATGCCATGTTTAATCATGTACCTGGACCCGACTTGAAGTACCCTAGAAAATGGGACATGACCCTATTAAAAAAACAGGTACTTGTACCTATTTAACTTTGAGACTCCAAGTATATAATCTACGGGGTTGCGTTATTTATATACGCTGAAACCGCCACACACACATATACAAATATGGATCGTTTGGATGATTGGATCCTTTCTTCATCCAGACCCCAGCACTCATCCCTGGCCCCGCCCTGTTTCCCCGGAATCCTCTTCAATTCACGAAACCATCAAGCAAATCCATCCCAAACCCCCCATGTTTGCTCTGCTTGTCCTTTCCCAGGCACGACCCTTCTTTTCGAGTGGGTGGGTCTCCCCAGACAATCGACAGTCCGGAGTCAACGGGTCGGCGTACCCAGGAGCCATTCTTACTGCGTTCCCGGAAGATCAACGTCTTTGAGCACGAGGCGAAGCGATCCTCGGCACGGAGGTGAACCGTTGGCGGCTGCGATTCGGTGTGAACAGCCCTTGCCATTCGGTCCAAAGTACTGGATGGTAAGGCCTTTGGAACTTTTGTCAATTGCACCGACCTCTCAGTATAGTTTCAGGTGTAGTTTCACATTTCAATCTCGGCTGCGTGCACAACCATGGACCAATGGATGATATGGATGCGTGTCGCAACCGAGGAAAGCTGGCCTTGGCGCGGATTCACCACCGATTGAAGCTCACCAAGGAAGCAGGTTTGGAAGTGCCGCGACTGGAAGTGCTATTGCAGAAGACCAAGCGCCTCAGCTGTCCTTGTAGTTTGTTTTTGTTTGCCTGCGTTCAAGGATTCAAGGCATGCAGGGTGTTCGGCGGGTTTCACAATCACCGTGAATGAAAGGCCACCATGGTAGCCATCCATCTCCCGAATTGATATCCTGAAGACGTTTCTCGAATCATCTCGAATCCAAAGTCCAAGGAAGACTGTATTTGACTATATTGACTATTCCCTTGCAAGCGAAGTTGGTTTCGTGTGATGTGTGTTTCAGGCTCTTGCTGTGGGAGACAAACTCCCTCCCTGCGCCCCCCCCTTGCGTGGCTTTGGGGGATCACCGGGGGCGGAGGCCGGGAAAACGGTTTTTGTGGGGTCACTCCATTTGACCTCTCGCATGCAGGACCAATGGTATGCCAACAAAGCAAGATTTGTAGTGATTTGATGTGATTTGTATCCAGCAAGTCAAGTCAAACTGAAAGGTTTATCATAGGCATTTCTAGAATTCTATGGACTCTATAATCTAAAAAATGCCCTGGAGGCTGACTTCAATAATGGAGTATAATTAGTAAGCTATGGGGGAGTCATGGTTAAGACACTGGCAGTGATCCTCCAAGTCATGAGGTTGGATGATTTTGAGAAGAGTGTGGCAGCTTGGCAGAAGTAGAGCCACCACTTTCTCATCCGGAGAGCGGATATGCAGACACATTTTTTCTCAAGTAGTTTCTTTCTCACTGCTTGACAAGGGTGTGTATATATATGTACACACACAAATATATGTATATATATATAGCTACATCATATAACATCAAGCATTTGAACTTTGACACACTTCATCAATTGATATAAATTGCCAAGAGGAAGCTGCCTTAAGCAGCCACCTTAATGCCATGAGCGTTTTGTTTGAGTTCCCTTCCATGTCATTTGTGCATGTGGAGCTGGATTCGTGGGGCAATGTATACCGAGAAGCCGGTGATCCAGGTGATCCAGCCACATCCAGTCCCGCGAAGACCTTCAATTTTACATGCTTTTGGAAATTCGACTGGTCCAAATGTATGCATACATGTATACATTGGCATGTATAAACTTTTACAGTGCTTTGGCCAATGTCAAGACTTTTTGGAACTGACTAAAAACATATTCAATTGGTCGGTGGCGGTCCCACTTCACGAAAGGTAGAAGGCGCAGCTTCGTAAGGGCTTTATACCAAGCGACGGCTGGGATTTTCACCGCAAAAGGACATTTGGAAATAGGATTTTTTTTCTAAATCAAACATATTGAGGGCACACACCCAACCTCCCCACAAGTAAGATGCAAGAATAAAGCTGTGATGACTTACTTCTGTTCAAGAGGGAGACATTAGATCAAAGGGAATGTTCCGTTTTCTTGTTCCAGTTGTTTGGAAGGACATAAGTCAAAGTCACTGCGTACCTTATTTTAAGATCATGCTTTCCAAGAGTGGGTGATTTCGAAACAGAACGTTGGAACTGCTGAGGTGGTGATGTTGGTGGGCAACACCTTGTCACCCAAGATCCAAGCCACCCTCAACGTGGGTGAGCGCCGCTTCTGCGTGAACGCGCCCCTGCAGGCCCAGCCCGAGAAACAACATGCACGTCGTCGAATGCATAGGGTTTGTGCAGGGTTCTTCAGACTTACGCAAACATGGCCTTTCAACCGTCATATGTCCTTGCGCCCAAGCCTCGTCTGGCTGTTCTTTGCGATGATGTTGGATTTAGGTTTACCTGGACGCATAGCCTTACTACTAGTAACAAGAAGCTACTAGGGGCTCCTGGCCTTACTACTAGGAACAAGAAGCTACTAGGAGCAGCTGGCTCGGGCAGGTGCGAGTGATCTTGGAGACCTTCTGCCGGGATTTCAAGGAAGAGGTGCAGAAGAGAAGCATGGCGCCACAGAAAAAAAGAAACGCATGGTGTTCCCAAGCAATGGGTTCGGGTAGCGGTTTTGGTCTATTGCCCTTCTTCCAGGAGGTCTTTGGCAGGTCTCATGTCCATTTCTGTCTTTGTGAGGGAGAAGCATCTTGGCAAATTGTCATAGCTGAAGCCCCAAATGACTCCGACGCTGAACAGTTTGTTTTTTTCTGTGGAGACCCCGTCACGAACCCTCGACTTTCGGAGAAAAACAAGCGTTGGATTTGGATGTGCACCGTGAAAAAGCAGGTGAAACCCTTGTTCATTCAAAATCCATGATGGATGTACCGAACTGAGGAGTGTACTTCTACAAGTCCAGCAGGTTGGCGAGCTGCCCGGATCGAACTGTGCCGAACATGGCGGAGCGGCGCGGACAACTCCATGGCGAGGAGGTGCAATTCACTGAAGGTTGATGGAAGACATCCCGCACCACCTAAGATCGGGGAAGCTTCACTAAGTAGTTGTTGTGGTGTTTTGCTCAAAGGCTGAGGACGGAGGGAAGCCAGTCGCACATGTAGCTCTTCCAGTCCCCGATTGGGGTCGGAACCTCCAGTCTGACCGGTCCAATCGTTGAGTGCTCAGGGCGTCGTGGAGCGGGTGAATGGATTTGAGGTCCGATCGATGATTTGTTGGGAAAGGAGGTCCAAAAATGCCCTAGGGATCCAGTCGTACCTTCTGAGAAGGTACGACTGGAACCTCCAAACCTACATAGCAGCGTCTCCAAACCGATTTTTTTCGGGGCTTAGGGACGGTGGCCGACACGAGCGAAGCATGAGCTTGAATGTTTGAGTTGGTAGAGGTTGGCAAACTTAGACTGCTGTGACGTGCTATTTACATCTATTTTGCTATTCATGAACACATTGCCTGGACTGGATTTCCTTTTTGCCATGTATCCAGATTTGTCGTGTGTTTCATGTGTTGAAGCTGAGTCTCCAAGCGAAGAGGATTCTTCTTGGCGGGTGATTCTTTTGAGCCGGATTTGTTTGTTGCACGGCCTGAAGTTTTGTAGCCCCAGAAGAGGAGAAGAGGTACCAATCACACACACCAGGAGAAAGCACAGTTGACAGTCCAAGAATCCCTAGGGCTCCAGTCGTATCGAGTCGTACCTTCGTTTCGAAGGTGGGACTGGGCTGGGTGCCTCGAGGGTCCAGTCATAACTTCTGAGGAGGTACGACTAAAGCCCTACGGATCATGCAGACTCTTGATTAGAACCCCCCCCCGTTTGAATGCGCGGACTTGCGGACTCGCTCCCACCATCCGACCCATCCGACCCTCGGTTTAATTCATGTGCAGAGTCTACATGACGGTCCACCGTGGAGCTGTTGGAAGCTTCCTCGAGGATTCACTCAGCATCCATTCGACGCAGTGCTTGTCACTGGATCACCGGCCCGAAGGGCGGCCCACTTGGCCCCCCCCAACGTGGCCAAACTCTTGCGGAGCTCCAAGTCGATTCACTTCTAGAATATATACCCCAGACACGACCCATGGGACTGCCATAGGACTGCCGATCAATTGACCCCCCCTGCATATATGACAGTCCCATGGAGTGTCTGGGTACTATGCTTGGCGGGCGTAGTTTCCGCATTTCAGAGCAACCAAGATACTCTCCAACACTGACATGGAAGTGGACAAATCCTTGTGCAGAGAGTAAAATTGTCTTGCAGGGCTCCATTTTCCATATTAATAATGCATCTGAGCACACCATCCACACATATGGACCTCTAGCTGAGGCAGTGGCATCATCCGGATTGGCGCTGGCGCGCGCAGCGGGGCCGCTCGTTGGCGCAGAAAGGGAAGAGTTGAAGAGTTGTCCTCCTTTCCTGGCACCAGGGAGGACGACTACAGGTCACTTGCCCCACCTGGAGTGACCATTTCCGATAGAGTTGGATACTGGATGAATTGGTGTCTGGAGCCGACAACACTTGAGGCATGGATTTGTTTGGGTGCAGCTCCTTGGTCAATTTTTTTTGGCTCAAAGGGATCTGGCCGGTGCAAGAGCAAACTTTGGAGTCACCGGGAGTCCGCAAAACCATCCACCGACCACGCCTCGCAGGCCGACCACCTTGGAATTCGATCCACGAAAGACCACGGCAGACCGCCAGAGATTTTTCTTCCCAGAATGCCGCATGATATCAAGCTGAACTCTTCCGATGGAGGCGATGGAGAGAGCCGCAATGGGTGTACCTTATGCAAGAGTCTGAGAACCGCACCCGTCTGGGCGTCCATCGCCCTGCACCGGTCCACCCGGCCTCCCGGCCCCGAAAGCTGCACCAAGAGAGGTAGGTACTTAAGTGCTGTTCATGGGTTGCCGTCTAGGATTCTAGGACCTTCTAGGACCTTCTAGGACCTTGTTAAGTGGTTGTGACCTTCTAGCACCCCGGAGCACCGGTCCGGGAGAGCTATGAAGTCCATCCACCGGCGACCCGGTCCCGCGGACGGCGCGGCGGCCTTCAGGACTTGACGGGGCACACGGTGCACATCGACCGGAGGATCTTGGACTTCGTCGTCGGCCTGGACACCGTGCGGACGCCCCAGACGCCCAGACCGGCGCGATGCGGGAGGGGCGGAGAGCTGCCAGAAGCTGGGTTTCGTAGTTGTTGGGGTCAGGAACTTGGAACCTTGATGTTGGTTGATGTTCTTTTTGGCTCCTTTTGACCTGCATACCGGGGATGGCCAGCCTTAAGTAGGGGACCCGTTTACGCACCCTCACATTTGAAAGAATCGAATGCATACTGTACACGAACTGGATGCAGTTCTTGGTTGAAGTTTTGTTCTATGTATAGACGTCATGATGCATGGATATATTGTAGCAAACAATTCCAATCATATGCAATATATATGCATATATTGATTATATTGGCAAGTGTATGTGACTGTGTATGTATGTGCATGTATTATGTATGTGCATGTATGCTCTCTTCTTCAGCCTGGTCTCCAGATGGTTGTTCAATAGGATGGAAGATCGGTGGTCGACCGATCTTCCAAGCCCTCACCGTTCAACCAAGGAGGTGAGCAGCGTGAGGGCCTAGATTGAAGAACATGTAACATCAATAGACCGGTATGTAATCGACAACCAAGTCTAGACCCAAAAACATCACTGATTATATAAGAGTAAGCAGGTAAGCAAGCAAGGAAGGAAGGAAGCACGTAAGCACGTAAGCAAGCACTGTAAGTAATGTAAGTGGAATATTCGGAATAGCTAATGTAGCAAGTCAGAAGCTGTCCAGGATCACCCACCCGAAGTAGTTGTTGCGCAGTGGAGAGCATCCAGGATCACCCGCCGGTGACCCGAAAATAACGCGGTGTCTTTGACACGTCAGGAGATCAACGAGGTCGTCGAAGGATCCAACTTGTACAAACCCTCGGCGACGCTGGAGCAGTTGGTCTTGCCGGAGGAGTGCGGACGATCCATCGGCCGGTGGAGACATCGCGGCGAAGAGTCTGACGTTTTGACACATGATTCGGAAGGCTGAAGAGTCTGTTGGTGTTGGGGATGCCGAACACAATAGTGGTTGCAGTATCGGATTGTGATCCCTTCATCTCAGAGGGAGCCGTCAGCATCGGAGTTGGTGGTACGACGGGGTGTTGGAAGGTGGGGTCAAGAATCCTTTGCTTGATTCTGGTGTTTGACCAGGATTGGGAGTGCAAACAGCTGCCAGAAGGGGGCATTCAGGGTAGCCATTGAAGGGGGCTGATCAACCACAATATTATATAATATATTAGAATCGAACTATTTTGGATTCAGATTCTAATGCTAAAGCATTGAGTGCAACCGAGATGCCCAGATGCACGTATTGAACAATAACCTGAACTGTAGGCCCAGACAACCATCGGCGGCATGGTTTTGAACAGGACATGAAGCAGGGCATCTTGGCACTGGTGGACAATTTCGAGCAGCCACTGGGCTCTACTCTGCCACATTTTGCCACATCATTGGCCCTTGCCGGTCAACTGGGCACTGATTACTACCCAGTGGATCCCAGTTGCATAGTAGACTATTTCGGAAACGCTGGTGACCTACAAAATAGTGGAGTCCACTGCTTTGTAACCTAGACGCTCCATGTGTTACATGATGTTTCGATGGTTTTAAACTTTCCTAAATGGCCGTCCCATTGGAGTGTTTGGGTATTTGGATGGTAGTGACACTAGCTTTGAGGATTTTAGCAATAGCTCCGAGGATTTAAGAAATAGCCCTGACCTGTCAACAGAAATTAGGCTGATGCAGCTCTTAAGGTAGTGTACCTGGATCTTCCCAGTGACCTTTGATTCCCCTGGTTTGAGGTTGTGCTTATGTAAAAGGTCATATAGGGACTCCAAAAAGGTCACTGGGAAGGTGCTGGCACTTGTGTTTTCTGGGCTCTTTTGGGTGGAGACGGGTGACATCTCCACTTAGGCGTTCCAGCTGACTCGCGCGCGCTCCGAGCGATGTCGCCATCGGTCAGAGGACTCGCTCGCGTCCTCCGGTGGTCCACCACCAGGTTCTGCCGCTACCGGAAATCCAGTGGGCTGGACGATGTCATTGCGCACGGCTCCGGCTTGGTGCTGATGTTCTGTGGGCCCAGTGGCACAGGTAAGACCTTGATGGCCACATGGCAATCGATGATTGGAGCAGTCGATGATTGGAGAGGTCCTGACAAGTGTTTCTTCGCGTGGGTCGTAGGTCCTAGATTTGGGAGGGATGTTGCTGTCACCGCGAGATGAGCTGGTAAATGTCAGGGGCACCCGCTGGACACTCCCTTTCCAAGAGATGCCCAGTTACATATGGCACCGTGCCCCTTTCTGGGTGACTCTTTCAGGGAGGGTTACCTTCCGAAACCCACTCACATGGAGCTGGACAGCCTGTTTGGGATGGTAGGGCGGCCATGCTGTCCACTTTGAGGTCAGATCTGTATGCGTGCATGACGACTTTTGGGGAGACCGAAGATGGGAAGAGGAGTGGCTTTTCTGTTTTTATTTGTTTTTCAAGCTCCTTCACCTGGCGCCCTGGCGGCGGCAGCCTGGTTGATCCAATCACCTCAGGGAGCCTCGTTTCACCTGGGGAAGACGATCCCACGAGCTGCTGAGGTCCAGCCTCCCAGGAGATGCTACCTCTCCAAAACCCTCCGAAAAGGAGGTACCTGGTAACCTCGGGGGGATCCTATAGGCTATAGGATGCTATCGGTGTACATCTTAAAATAGGAATGGTACCAGGACCCTTGAGGGTCCAGGGGTGTAAACTTGCGTTTTGCTTGCCTCCAAGGTGAACGCATTGGCGGCACATTTGGAGAAGCGGGTCTTGCTGGTCGCGCGGAAGAAAGGGCGGGCTGAGGGGAAGGAAAGACGCATTTTGGACAAAATGAAATCACGGTGGATTTTCTTTTGTGAAAGATAATTGTAATGTTTTATATAGTGACAGTATGGTATGTCTTGACATTTACCTTTCTGCTGTTTGTTATGTTTTCTGGTGCCTCAGCTTTGTTTGATCGTCCACTTTTCATCATTGCCTTCGCAAACAATATATAACAAAACCATAACACAAGAACATCTAAAACATAGAAGATCAAAACAAACACAAAAAAACAATAATAACAACACATATTATGTTGGAATCATATGGAGCGGTGGGACGAGTGGGAAAAGACTGAAGGGAACGTCTTTTGGGGAAGATGGGGACTGGAAGTATGAGGGGTTGTGGGCTAATCAGTTTGATGACAAAGTTTCCTGGAGAAAGATGATTGCAAGCCACTAGAATCCAGAATGGACCGGAGAGCTTGTGAAGTCTGTATTATTCATATTCTTCACATGAAACATCCCAGCAGGGAGGGATTCAAAGGGAATTAAGTTCGATCTTGGGCAGGTGATCACTGCTGACCACGGACTTCATACCACTTTATGTGTTTTCAAGGCTGTCACCAAACTCACCTCCCTAGTAATTTCTTTGCACTGTACAGGTCTGTCAGCTGAGCCATTCGCAGTCACCCCAAGCACCAACAGCCTCGATCACAAAGAGTAAACCCACAAACGCGGACTTCCAGTGGCTTGGTGCATTGGAGTGTGTTCGTGAAGATGCTCCAAGTAGGCCTCAGTTGTCTATTTGAGAATCTTTGGCCTTTAGTGGACCTATGCGAAGGATCGGCCTTTGCAAAATATCGAGAACACATTTGGCTGCTTGATGACTTTAATGGGGGAGATTCGTGAACCACCGAATTCGATACCAAAGGTATCAAAAGCTCCTAGTCCTGGGCATCGATCCAAGTAACTCTATTAGGATTCTTGACATCCTGGGATGGGAAAAACAACACACACGCCCCCATGCAACTGGTCGCGAGGTGAATTTCAAGACCTTGTACAGCCACAACGATACCGGGCTGCACGAGGAGGACGGCTCCAATGTCCTGAAGCTCTTCCGAGAAGCGGTGCCTCGACGGCCTGTGGGGACTTCGGAGAGACTGCTTGGAGGTCCACCACCCAAGGTGAATGAGCAAGTCCGTCGGCCAAACACCCTGGGATACCCTGGGTAAGCCCAAGAAATGGCTGATGTATAGGCCCCTATGATGGCCGTCCGATTGGAAGGGGTCAACGATGGTAACTAGACTCACAAGTCAGTTCACAAGTCCATGTAGAGAGAGTCAAAACGCATCAAACAAGCGCTTGTGAACCGGTCCCTCAGGAAATGAGCGATGCTGTGTTGTTCTTCGACGAGCACCTTGGCCTTGGCGTGATGTTTGCGTGTCGAGCAGCCGAGCGCTGCGTGCGCGCTGCCGGACGCTGCGGCGAAGGATTCGGCCATCAGGTCTGAAGGTGAACATGTCGACTGAGCCTGCAACGGTCCACTGAGCTGCATCCCCATGCTTTGGTACACAGCTGCCATCCCCGCTAGTCGCGACCCCTCCGCCGCATCCTCCGCCGCACCGAGGTGCGAATCCCTCTTCAGCCAGCGCGGCAGCGGTGGCAGCTCTGAGCTCACGGCCCTGCTGACGGCTATGGAGCGCCGCGCGGTTGGGGGTAGAGGGGGATGCTCTCCGAGCGGAGGTGCGAGTGACTCAGGTGCGAGGTGGACTGGAGCTCTTTTTGAGAGATTGGCCCGAAAAGGATCGGAATCCCGGGTTGCAAATGGTTTGGAATGGCGAGGAGTGGTCCTGCAAAAGTCGTGAGTTTGTCCTCTATCATGGTGTTTTTGCTTACCGTCCTGGACCATCCTGGCCTTTGGGCCGGTCTAGTCGTGGGGGTGAGGTTAGGCATGCAGCCTCACTCCATATCTAGGTCGTGCCATGTTCCCTTGTGGATCACCTTTGGCCTAAAAACATGTCAACCCCAGACACTCCATGTATGCCATATATGCCTACATTGACCCCCCTGGCACCACCCCAATTGATCGGCAGTCCTATGGCAGTCCCATGGGTCGTGCTTGGGAACAGCATCAAAGCCACATCAGCAGCCAGCGATCATGGTCCATCACCAGCCACATGTAGCTCCAAAGATCCAAAGTGGCTGCGATTCGACCGATGGACCGATGGACCTGGAGTCTTCTCACAGCCAGCCAGCCAGTGGAATGGCGATTCTGTTTTGGTGGAGTTCCGGGCACCGTCCCAACCGGACTCGTTGGCCACACTAGTGGACTCGCCTCAGACATTCCACTCCCAAAGACCAGCAAAGCAGCCAAATGCAAATTCATTCTGGGTCGGGGGCATCTCACAAGATGCTTCGTCACCAGAAACGGTGTCTATCGAACTGGACCCGTGTCCGACGGCTTCTCTCTATACTCGCCCCGCCCGTCGGCTTGCTTGAACCGCGAGGTTATGAGGGCATCATCTTCTTGGCCACGAACAGGCCCTTCGATCTGGATGAAGCCATGTACCGGCGTATCACCTCGGTCTTCACCTTCAGCCCCTTGGGTCGGAAGCCAGACCGGGGATGGAGGCCATGCGAAAGACCCATGGCGCGAGTGTGGTGAGGTTCACAGCGAGCCGGTGTAGCATCGGTGGAGCCGTCCGCGCGAGGGTCAGTGTACGACCCTGCTAGGAGGTTGACCTCTCTCTCTAGATCATGTTACCGTTGTTGGATCCACCAGGATCTCTGTTATCCACCATGAATCGATCCAGAGTCCTGAGTCCCGCATCCCGAGTCCTCCATGGGAAGCTTTGCTTACGACCCACCAAGCCCCTTACGAAACCACGGGGAGGTCACTCGGTGACCGGGGTGCCTGGTCCGGTGCATCGCAGGACGCAGGTGGAGCGGGGACTGAACCGACTTCAAAGGTATGTGCATCTATACCATCGGAATCCAATACCTTCTTTTTTAAGCGGTGTATGAACAGATATGTATTTTCTAAAAGACATATTTATATTTTGGGGACAATCTTGGCCCTGGAGTATACAACATAAGTAAGATTAAGTAAGAAGGTATTTGGATTCCTTCTGAATTCTGCATTGTGGGGCATTTTAGGGCCATAATCAATTTTAGGCCCATCATTATAAGGGCAACCTGCAATGATATTGATCACCTCAACCAACCGGGCCCCGACTTTGAGCCATTGCTCCCTGGTTCAACCCCATCTTCCCCTGCACTGGATTGGAAACCGACTGAACCTTTGTCCACATAAATGCCCATAAACATTGGGAATTTACATAGGGAATATGAAAAATAGATAGTTTTTTCCCGAATGCGTAGCGAAGGGTTCCCGTTTATAGTTTGGGGTCTGGGGGTTGGAGCTGTGTTCGCGTGGCTTGCGTCGTGTCGTCGTCTGTCGTCGTCTCTCGTCGTTTGTCGTCGTCGTCGCGTCTCAAATTTGCTGCCATTGGGGGAAGCTTTTGCAAGTGACTTTGCATGGATGTGTCACGTGTCAGTTTGCGCCGCTATTCCATTGTGATTTGCGTGACACGGACATGTCGCGCAAGAAACGTGATGCACTTCGCTGCACAGGCGCAGCGTTTTGTGAGATCCGCAGATTACGGCGCAGTTCCATTGGGATTAGCGTTTGGAGAGTCGTGTTTTTGGGGTGTTGGATGTGGCCGTGCCATTGGGATTTGCGTTTCAGGGTGTGGCATCGAAGCTCTGTTTTCGTGACAAGTCTCAGCTGAAATGGCGATTTTGATGGATGGGAGTGTGCTCTGAACGGGTCGAAATCATTCCAAACGTGTGGTGTGGTGCAAATTTTTTGTTGAAGCTCACATGCGATGATATTGTCACTTTTCGTGGCAGGCGCAGGACTTCGTGCGGGCTTTGAAGCGTGGAAGTCCAATTCTCGTGGCAGGCGCAGGGAATCGTGAGGTTGCGAGGTGTGAGGGAGGTGACATTTCGTGGCAGGCGCAGTACTTTGTGCGCGTTAGACGTGTGGACGGGGAAAGATTCGTGGCAGGCGCAGGGAATCGTGAGGTTGTGAGTTGTGGTAGAGGTGAATGTCGCTGTCCCATTGGGATTGGCGTGTGAGCGGATGTTGTTTGGAGGGGCTGGAATCGCGAAATTGCTTGGCAGGGCTGCGTGATGTGTGTGCTCCGATGGGTGTTTCCGCTTGACTTTTGGAGGAAGTCTCGTACGAAACGCTCGTTTTGCAGACTTTGACGTGTGAGTTTTTGAGGAAGTCTCGTACGAAACGCTCGTTTTGGAGACTTGACGCGCAACCCTCTGCGGAGATCGTGCGTGTCGAGTGCACCAAATGCAGGCGAGAGTGCGATTTGTCCCATGCGCGCGCAACCCTCTGCGGAGATCGTGCGTGTCGAGTGCGCGAAATGCAGGCGAGAGTGCGATTTGTCCCATGTGCGCGCAACCCTCTGCGGAGATCGTGCGTGTCGAGTGCGCGAACTGCAGGCGAGAGTGCGATTTGTCCCACGCGCGCGCAACCCTCTGCGGAGATCGTGCGTGTTGAGTGCGCGAAATGCAGGCGAGAGTGCGATTTGTCCGGTGGAGCTGGAAGCTGAGAACTGGCGACCTTGTAGTACAACTGTAGTACGTGGAGTATCTGGGGAGCTGGAAGCTGAGAACTGGCGACCACTCTGGCGACCTTGTAGTACAACTTTAGTACGCGGAGTATTTGGGGAGCTGGAAGAGAGTCCCACAAGAGTGTCCCGCAACAGTGTCCCACTAGAGTGTCTCAAAAGAGTGTCCCTTAAGAGTGTCCTACAGGAGTATCCCACAAGAGTGTCCTACAAGAGTGTCCCACAAGAGTGTCCCACAAGAGTGTCCTACAAGACTGTCCCACAAGAGTATCCTACAAGAGTGTCCCACAAGGAGTTCCACAAGAGTGTCCCACAGAGTGTCCCACAAGACTGTCCCACAAGAGTGTCCTACAAGAGTGACCCACAAGAGTGTCCTACAAGAGTGTCCTATAAGAGTGTCCCACAAGAGTGTCCCACAAGAGTGTCCCACAAGAGTGTCCTACAAGAGTGTTCTACAAGAGTGTCCCACAAGAGTGTCCTACAAGAGTGCCCCACAAGAGTGA